ATTACTTCAGGCAGAAAGGTGTGAAAATTGGCATTTTTGTGATTCCTGCAAGTCCTGTGTGGATAGATTTGGATGCCTACCAGTTCCCACTCTCTCAAAGAGAACAGTAAATGCCAGAGGGTGGACTCTCCTCAGTAAATCAAACAGAAAAACTTCCACTATACACTAAAAATGCAATAAACTGAGATGGTTAACCAAACAATTGTCATTAAGGTTGGAGGGAGTCCCAGGGGACACCTAAGATGGTAAGTGAGGTCCAAACAGGAGGGGTTTGGGTTTCCTAGATTTTTGAAAGGACATTCTAGTGCTGCAGTCTACAGACTGTTGTGCTGCTAATCCGAAGCCTGCACTTTTCTGGTAGTTCGAATCCACCAGCAAACAGCTCTGAGGGAGAAAGATGGACAACCTCCTTCCATGCAATTAGCAAGGTTGGAAATCTGCTGAAGGGGCTGCTTTAAGTCAGAACTGACTCAAGGCAATGAATTAATGAACGCATTTTAAGAGCTGGAAGTTGAAGGGGGTGGGCAGGAGCAGGGGAGTATGGTTTCAGATACTCAGAAGCTGTGCGTCTATAAAATCGTTCACAACCCAAAGCCAGAATATAATGGGACTTGTGAATAGAGGGAGCTCTGGTGGCTTGGTGGTAAAGCGCTACCCCGCAATCCCGAAAGTGCGCGATTTTAATCCACCAGTTGCCATGCAGGAAAAAGATGGGCAATCTTCTCCTAAGGGATTTACTGCCTCTGAAAACCCGCTGGGGTTGGGGAGAGGCTAGTTCTGACTAAACTGGCAAAGAGTTCATGGGGACAGGGAGTGTGGTCTAGACCGAGAGTCCTGAGGGTGGATGGAAGGTGAATCAGAGGTCAAGGGGGAGCATGAAGCCTCTGGGAAGAGGGTCTTGGTGGGGAAATAAGTCGATTTAGAGGTACCTGTGTGGACGCCCCACTTGCAGAAGAGACTATTTTCTGAAAAACCGGTGGCCCCCAAGATTTGCCCAATCACGTGCACTTCAGCCATGGTCCTGGAAGGGAAAAATATAATCACACCCTTGTAAGGTGACAAAAAGGGAAACTGAGGCCACTGAGTTCAATACCAGCATTCCATGGCAGGTTCGTCCAAACCTCAGAGGTTGCGCTCTTAAACACTACTGGTTCACGAGAACCCCGGAAAAATGCAGGGTCTAGGAGGAGCAGATGGCCACTAACCCGGCCCCACCCCAAAACCTCCCCCTTTGCTGTCTCAGACCCAAGGCCCCGTCCCCAGCTGGACGGCCAAGCTCCCCGCGCATGCGTTGTAAATGCATTAGCCTCGCCCGCCCCACCCGGCGGCGCATGCGTTGTCCGACTGTCGTGCAACTAACGGTTAAAAATCACTAAGATCAAATTGACTCTGTCTCATACGTTACGGAGAGCTGTGGTTTTTTAATATGATTTGTACCTCTCTCGGCGGGTACCGACCTCCCCGGCCCGGTTCCTGCGTCTCCCAGAACCTCCCTAACAGGAAGAGAGCCGGATTGCGCCGTGCCAGAGCCTGCCTCCGGGAAGCCCTGGCTGTTACTAGGACAACAGCAGCCTCTCACTACCACCCGCCCTGCGCACCGCTAATTGGTGCAAACGTCCTCGGGGGCGGGGAAACCCTATGATGGACGGTTTCTCCTGAACCCTCCGGAAGTTGCTCTATTGTGAGCGTGGCTGGGCAGCTGTACCTCTTTAGAGTGTGGGTGGGATTGAGACTCAAAACTTTTTTCTCTTTGATACTCATAATAACCTTCCACCCGCCCAGTCAAGGACCATGAATCACAGACCTAAGCCCTTAGATATTTCATGGAGAAATCTGTTCTTTTATATTCTGCATTCAGAGAGGATTCTTCCGTTATTAATTTCCCTCAGGTCCCCTTGTTAGATACTCTGAATTCAGGTCCAACGCATAGCAATCCCATGTACAACAGAAAGAAATCCTGCCAGATCCTGCATTATCCTCACAATCTTTGTTGTGCTTAAAACCATTATTGCAGTCGATGTGTCAATCCGTCTCCTTGATCCTCTACTTTTCCAAGAATACTCTTCAGGGCCTGTCCTCCCTCTCTTGATAAGATTCCAAAATATATGAGAGGAAACGTCACCATCTTTGTTTCTAAGAAGCACCCTGGTACACTTCTTCCAAGATTTGTTTGCTCTTTTGGCAGTCCATGGCATATTTACTACTTTTTTCCAGCACTGTAATTCAAAGGCGTAAATATTTGTCTTCTTTATCCATTGCCCAACTTTCACATAAATATGAAGCAATTGAATATACCATGTCTTGGATCAGATGTACCTCAGTTTTAAAGTGACATCCTTGCTCTTGAGTACTTTAAAGAGGTCACTGGCAGCAGATTTGCCCAATACAGTATGTTTTATTTCTTGGCTCCTCCTTCCATAGGTTTTGCTCTTGATAATTTCAATCTTTTATCTATTTATCATTATATTATTTGTTGATCCAGTTAGGAGGATTGTTGTTTCCTTATACTGAGGTGAAGCTTCATCAATTTGTGCTTCGTATCTTCTTTGTTTTCTATAAGCAATGTTACTCCAGTTTGTTGATGAGTCTTCCTCCAATCTTTCTGAGTCTTTTAGGGAGACTGTTCTCTGTCTCCTAGCTCCTGGTAATTCCAGACATTCCTTGGCTTGCAACTGCAGATCACACGCCATCTCTTCTCCTCTTTAAAAGGACACCACTCAAATGGGATTAGGCTCTATCTTGCTCTGGTATGACCTCGTATTAGCTGATAACATCTTCAAAGACCCTATTTCAAACAAGGTCATGATGGAAAGTACCAGGGGTTAGAGTTTCAACATAGATTTTATACAGTGAGCACAAGTCAGTGCAGAACAGTCTTTGCTTTCTGTCTCTCTCTAACCTCGGATCACTTGCTCTGAAGGAAATGAACTATACCATGCTGTGAGGATGGAATAGGTGAAAAATTTATGGAGGTCCTACTGATTGTCTGATGGCAGATGGTTAGGCACTTGGCTGCTAACCAAAACATTGGTAGTTCAAACTCCCCCAGAAACTCCTTGAGAGAAAAAAACTGGTGCTCTCCTACTGTAAAGATGACAGCCTAGGAAATGCAATGGGGTACTTCTGTTACGTGATGGAGCCATCATGAATTAGAATCATCTTGCAAGCAGATCTTCCAGCCCTTATCAAGTCTTCAGATGACTGTAGCCTTGGTCAACAGCTTGGCTATAACTTCATGAGAGACCTTGGTATCAAAACACTCAGCTAAATTGTTATCAGATTCCTGATCCACAGAAGCCCTGTGAAATAACAAATGCTTACTGTTTTATGTCAGAAAGTTAGGGGGGTTAGTTTGTTATGCAGCAACAGATAACTAATGCATGTCTGTAATGACTGTGAAACAGTGAACACACTATAAATGTGTTTGCTGTTATCGATGATTTTATTGTTTCTACCAAAATGGCATGCTACATATAGTTCCATATCTACCTTTTTTCACTTTGTGATAAATACCTTGAACACTTATTGATATCAGTGTGTAAATATGTAACTTTTTTCTAGATTATCTCATGAGTTTTATTCACTTTTACTAATTTTTTTATT